GACTACTTTATTCACGTTTTTACGTACTTTCTAGCCTTCTTCGGAGAAGTTACAGCCAACTCTGCGAGTTTGGTATCGCCCTTAATCTTATCGATTTCAGATGGGGTAAACATGCCTGCATAGGTAGGAGAAGAAGGTGGTTCCACACCGGTCCTAAAATCACCCATTGAAGCACTCTTCGTCAAGCGACGGCTTGAAGGAGCAGTTTCTTTGCCTGCTCTTCTCTTCACACCTGAACTAGTCGATCCAGCACCGACGCTTTTCTCCATATCATCATTTCCAGTGTTCTCATTACCTTCCAAAGCCTCACTCTTATCAAAATTCAGCACCTGAGAAAATTGCGCCATTGCATTATTAAAAATTTGGCTTTCTCTTATGCTAGGCACAGCGAAAGTTGACTGAGGCAAAGGGATCCGAGAAGAAATATCATCAGTGTTGGACAGTTTATGAGCCTTTCTCGGTGGCAGAGTATGGTCGGGGTTAGGCAATGAGGGGTCATCATCAGACAATGACACAGTACTACTACCGGAGTTTGGAGACCTTCCAACCGGAACCCATGACGGTGATGATGTGAACAATGCCGACGAAGAGCTCCTCGGTGGCAAGGAGGAAAAGGTAAACGATGGCTGAGACATTGACCTCTGGAGGCTTGGTCCGGTGCTGAAATTCTGCGACCCGAGTTGTTGCTCGAACGTTGAGATTTTGGAGTAGGGTGAAATGGGTGGGCGTAAGCTCGGACGAGAAGGCGTCACGACGGTTCTCCGGCCAGTATCGCCGCCGTCTTCATTCNGGGGGGCTTGAGTTGAGCCCGAGTTGTCACCAACGATTAAATCAGGAATATCCACGTTTTTTTTCATCGTTAGAGGAAGGATTCGAAGAAGAAGAGTCGAGTCTCTGCATCATATCAGAGTTATATCACTCGATAGATAAATGGTACAAATGTTACAACAACACATTAAAACCTTAGTATGATTTGAATCATATACAAAAAAAAAAAAATCACTGGTTTTTAATCGTAAATAAAAAAAAATGAGTGTGTCAAAAGTTTTTTCTTTGAAAAAAAAATTCATGAGTGTCAAACGTTTTTAGAGAAGAGAAACAAAAGATAAAAGATTGAAACTTTTGAGAAACAAGTGAAGAGGAAATGCAATGAGAGGTACCTTACAGTTCAACAGTGGAGTCAATCAACGACTACAGTTGAAAAACACTTGAAACTATCTAAAATCAGTTTGCTTAAGAACTTTTTAAAGAAACAAAGAAAAGAAAAGATTCTTCATATCTTTGGATTTACAGATGATTAAATTTTCAGGTAAAGATACCATCTATTTATACCCAAATACTTCAATCTTATTTTTATCAACAACATAAATTTTAAAGTTAGAAAACGACAACTAATCATTTGCTTTTTGGTAATATATTAAACTTTTATAAATTTGAAGTCATTTCATTTCGTTATTCAGTCAATTCAAACTTTTGGCGGGTTAATTACTGTTCAACAATTAGTTATTTTGACGCGTACTTTAATATTCAATAATTAGTTATTTTGGCACGTTGTTTATCTTAAATGTTTGATTAAAAACTTATACATTTGAAATCATTATATTTTGCTACTCAATCAATTTTAACTTTTGGTAAGTTATTTATTGTTTAATAATTGATATTACATTTCGTTTTTCAGTCAATTCAAACTTTTACCGCGTTAATTACAGTTCAACAATTAGTTATTTTGGCGTGTACATTAATGTTTAACAATTAGTTATTTTGGCACGTTATTTATTTTAAATGTTTGATTCAAAACTTATAAAATTGAAATCATTATATTGCTACTCTGTCAATTTTAACTTTTGGCAGGTTATTTATTGTTTAATAATTGGTTATTTTGGCGCCTTATTTATTTTAAATAATTGATTATAAATCAAAGTCATTATATTCAGTCAATTTTAACTTATTTTGGCGTGTTATTTATCATTCTATTAAATGGTTTTGATGCAATAATAGAAAACCCTAGCCGTCAGAGACAAAGAGAGAGAAAAAAGAGGGGATTGAGTTTACTCCCTCTACGATGTCCAATGCTTTTGTCGGCATCGTGAGAGGGAGAAGGTTGTAAACTAGTAGTTTCTAAACATGAAGTCTAGAGAAGAGATCCTGAAGTTTTTGGTTAGAAGACGATACGATGTTATTCGTCGTCTAGATTTTATGAGTTCTTGTGATTTCTTCGATTGAGTTTTTTTTTTGGGTGAAGTTTTTATTTGAGGTTTTTTCCGTCGTAGAAGATCTATGTTTAGTTTCTAATCAATTTTGGCTATATATTTGATTTAAATTTTGTAGTTGAAACTTGTTCAACTGAAGCTTACTCGGGACAAAATTGATAAAGAAAATCAAAGTAGGAGATTTATCTAAATTAAGAGAATTGTTATCATGTTATCGTAATGGATTTTGGAAGTCTGGCTGCTATTTGGATTCGGGAACACCTAATTGTCTACCTTCGATTCGAAACAAGACCATCTTGGTATCGCTAATGTGTCGTCAACAATTATTATCCTCACTTAATTTCCGGTGCGAAAATGACCATTAGTTTCTCTTTGTATTTCATATTTTGAATTTCTTTTTTACTGATGTAATCTATTTTAAATCAATTTTAATAAAATAAAGTGTAAGAAAATGGTTTTGATGCATTATTTTTTCAGTGAGTTTGCAATTTTTTAGTATTGATTTTCAA